GTAAGTTATATACTTTCTGCAAATAAGACAATTCCACTCCATCAGTTTTAAGAGCTATAAAATATTATTTGGTAAAAATTATTTTCTCTCCGAGTCGGATAATAAACCGCATCTTATTGAAATATTCACGATGACGTGGTCTCGCATCTCACAGCAAACAATGGTCCAATCTCGTGAATGAACCGAAAAGCATGATGGTCTACTACGTATTATTACAAACACGTGAGTAAGGGATTGTCAATACGTGAGCACACCTCAGAGTTGGTTGCTTTTTGTACCGAGGAATAATCACGTGCAATTGTCTTTTCACTAGCAGTACAGCAAGGGGAAATTCTAAACAAACTAACCTGTACAATGGAGTGGGGGAAAACTTTAATTTTTATCAGTGTTAATCATTCGTATGCAAATATGAGCATGGGATTAGTATATAATAATGTACATAATGCATTAAGCGTGTAAATGCTTGGGAAATGCATCAAGACTTTCCGAGAGCGATTTAAAAACTAGCCTTTTTCGAAAAACACATATAGTATTTTATGTAGTAACCAATAACTGCTTTAACTGCAACTCATTGAGCTGATTGGTCGATTTGTCAGTCATATTGGTTCCTCACTGAACAGACGTCAATAAAAATATTTTCCTCGACCTGATGATTCTCGTGATGCTTTTCCCGCGCACATGCGCAGATCCAGGATAAACGTCAGTCCTTCATAAATATGTATGAGAATTTCGTGTTCTTTTCCCGTCCAGTACTTCGTTAATACCGAATAATATTTCGTCGAATTTGCAAGAATGCTTCATTTTTGATAGCTTATCATACTTCAGTTAACACGGCATACATATCTTTAAAATTCACTACCGTCCAATTTGTTTTTTTTTTTTCAGCAGATACAAAATTTCAGTCGTAATTTAGTCAACATATCACCTTAGATTTGTAGGCAACAGAGAACACACATTGTTTGTCGTCGTTCGTGGAACAGAACGTCCCCCATGTCTTCGTGCAACGAACAGTCTACCTGTTTCATGTGGTAACTATTTTTGGTATAGAGGATAAATTATCATTGAACCTCATAGTATTTAAAACAGCTTCTCTATTTGAATCTAGTGTGTAATGCCATTTGTGTATTTTTTTGTCCCCCGCTTTTGCGAAAGCGAGGGGACATTAAATCTCATTTGTCTGTCCGTCTCTCCGTCCGTACGTCTAGCTGTCCGTCCGTCACAAAAACTTTAACCTTGCCCATAACTTTTGATTCAGTGGAGTTATGACTTTCATATTTCATATGTGTATTTGTTGTGACAAGACCTTTCTTTGGATACCACTAAATTTGACCTTTCGACCTTGAATTTGGAGTTTGACCCACTTTTACACAAAAAATTCAAACTTTTACTTTGGTCATAACTTTTGAATGGTAGGTACTAGGACTTTCATACTTCACAAATGTATTTTTTGTAGCAAGACCTTTTATTGAAACCAACAACTTTGACCTTTTGACCTTGACCTTTGAGATTTCCATACTTTTAAAATAACTTTATCTTTAACCAACACTTTTGAATGGTAAGGGCTAGGACTTTCATACTTCATATATATATTTCTTGTGAGAAGACCTTTTATTGAATACCAAGAACTTTGCCCCTTTGACCTTGCAGTTTACCCTACTTTTCAAAAACGTTGACCTTGACCACAACTTTTGATCAGTAGATACCAGGACTTTCATATTTTCCCATATGTATTTTTTGTGGCAAGACTTTTCATTTGATACTAACAACCTTGACCTTTTGACCTTGACCTTGGTGATTTTTGTACTTATGAGAAAACTTTAACCTTGACCATAACTTTTGAATGGTAAGGGCTATGGCTTTCATACTTAACATGTGTTATCCTTTTGAGAAGACTTTTCATTGGATACCAAGAATGTTAACCCTTTAACCTTGACCTTGGAGTTCAGTGATAATTTCCAATTAGATGACTTATGATAGGGCGTTCATATTAGACACAAAATGCCATAAAAAAGACATCTCACCCAAAAAGACACCGAAAGCGGGGGACCACAATTCTTTGAATTTGCTTGTTCCCGTCTCTGATGTATATAAAACACATCCAAAACAATTAATTACACCTCCGTGCGCCGGTTACGGGTTTAACGACGTTATTTTCATCAATCACAATTTCTACAACACTTTGAAAATCATGACACCTATCGTCTGTTTTTTTTTTTTTTTTTTTTTTTTTTTTGAAGCTATTTACATGATAATTAGACATTTTATTAAGATTTTGATTCTGGTTTAACTGATTTAAATTTAAGTTAACGTAAGTTTACGTTTTACATAGTACCATTGAAAAAAGCAAATGTAATAGTTAAATGCGTCTCAGAACTGCTCCAAACTCTTTGAAATAAAAGTCTTTAATTTATAAAATGAAATATTTACATTACCTGTGTGTTTCTAGGAAGCCTTTTGTAAAATTGATTTAAGGTATCCGATCCATATTAGCCTCAGATTCAATAGAATTGAATGCATAATAGATATGTATGGGCTGAATACTCAATGTATTTAGAACTAATTTTCATCTTTTAGTATCAGAGTGTAAGAGTGGGACATGTCCTAATTTATGACCTTTTCTTGCTCTTGTTATGTCAACATAACAATGTTTCATCTTGTACGTATGATGTCAGATACTGACGTATGATGTTAGATGCTGACGTATGATGTCAGATACTGACGTCAGTAAGTAACACATATCTATTTTTTTCCTAATACGATAGGTTATTTGGATGTCATCATAAATATTTTACATTTTGATATAAAAAAAAGTCACATACATGTATCTGCATAATGATGTTGGAAGTTAACATAATTTATTTTGCATGGAGATGACAGAAATAACTCTCACTCTTTCTCTCCTCTCTTTCTCTCTCAATCATATGTATTTTATACTGCTGATTCAGAGCTAATAATTTTCTACTTTGACCTGTGGACACCGGTTATAGGCATTCATGAATGTTGTTAATACAATTTATGTTGCTATGAATAATATATGTTTTTAAAAGCAATAACACAATAAGATTTACAAACAAATTATTATTTATTCAATAGAAAGTTACTCACTCCATTGAGGGAAAAAGAATACAAATACTTTTGCAATCATTTAAAATACCTTTGGCATTGTGAAGACACAAAATAATCGAATCTTTTATTATTTTATCTAAAATGTGCTGCTATAATAATAAAAGTCTTTTTAGACCCTTCGATGGTTAGGTTATCTTTTTTGTTTTATTTTTTCGTAACCGAAGGCAGGTTTCACCCTATTCTAATCCATAATCAAATAATATATTTCATCGTAAATTTTATGTACTGCAAAATTATAACAAAAAGTAGTGTTACATAACTTTCATTTTCTCTACATTAACAGTTTTAATATTTTCATTGTTGTAAAGTTATTGTCCTACTTATTTATTAAAAAAAATCTATATGATTTAATACCTTTATGACATTTAGAAATGTAGACTGTAAAGAAACACAAACAAATAAATATGTCATTCATTTCGTTAAAATCTAATTAATTTTGTTCAAAACTTACCATTTTGAAGAGTTTTTGTGAGACTAACTACAGATTCAACTAAAGCCAATACACAGACTATCCGGTAGGTAAATGTCATCAGCATGATGCAAATAAACCTTTGTTCAATTTTCAAATTTGAACATATTCCATCATTTCAGTTGGTTGTTCATCATATGAAGTAAAATCCACTGTCCTCGGATCTTTAATCTGTTGCGCAAATATTTGAGGAAGCACTCATATATATGTTTTGCATAATTATATAATATTGTTAGGTCCACTGTTAGAAAAACCACACAATCTCCATCATTATAACTTTTTTTTTAATATTTGGGTAAACAGAAAAAAAATCTTTCATATTTATAGAGAATTCCTTCTTTCTTCTCTAAAACGAACGGTTCATAACAAAAATCCTGCTATAAATGCAGGTTTAAACCTCTATGAAAATCGATAATAACAAATCAAGTAACTCAATATTTAAAAGTTATTTCAGGGATTACTGATTAGCTATCTGTGTCTCACAATGGCTGGATATTGATATGCTGTGGATGGAACCTTTCCTGACATTATTGTCTCCCCTGTATAGCAACACTTCCGGTTACTCATCAATTGACAGTGAGAACCATGTGATATTGAAGGTAGGTTAGTCTTTTCCGGTTTGCATTTCACATGAATTATTCAATTTTGTTTTGATGAATGGGTTTTATTTCAAAAATCTACTTGTATTATGTCTGTTGTCGATTTTTGTACTGTGTTTAAATGGACCAAAACACGTGATTTACATATTATTGGCATTCGATTATTACAGTTTAAAACGCTACTCCTCCTCCATATGTATTCTGCTTCCAATATTACTTGGCATACAAGTAGACTAAACTAATATGAATATTATTATATATCTGTTCTTGATTTTGAAGATGGTGCTGTCTTTGTTAATAGGAATAAAAATTTCCTTGAAATGCTTTCAAAATGCTACTCCTCGAACAGTTTGGACTGATTTTAATGTAATTTAGCACACAAGTAAACCACTTAGATTAAAAGATTTGTGCCTATGGGCTTCTTTTTTTTTTTTTAAAAAATTAGATTTACAATATTGCCATCATAGTAACTTAAAAAGAATTTCAATAAAATTATTCGAAACAGCTATCCTTTCACCAGTTATAGTCTGATTGCAATCTTTCCATGAAAAGAGACTTAATGAAGAATAATTAATTAGATTTATTTATCGCTGTTCAAAGTTTCAAGCTCAACTTCTACTTTTCTCTTCCTTTGTTATAAAAACAATACAGTAGAGTTATAGTTTCGACAAAAATTTCCTGCATGTATTTTTAATCAGCTTGATTTCAAAGTGATAGATAAACCTTGCTTCCTATAAAGACCGTAAAATCCTTATCCTAAAAAGATAAGGTTTTAACTACAGGTAGCGTTATCTGTGTATTAATATTTCACCATTAATAACGCCATGAAATTACTCTCAATAACTTTCGCTATTTGCGCTGGTGTAGTGAGCTCACAGTCGCAGCCTCAGGGACATATAGACTGTTGTGAAGCCAATGCCGACACGTTACAAAACATTATCCAGCGTGTGACGTCACTTGAAAAAGAACTTGTGTCGCTGAAAGCAGAAAATGCCAATTTAAAACAAAATTCCACTGCGTTCACAGCACTGCAGCACGAGTTAGTAGCGCTGAAATGTAAGTTAACTAACTTTTTAAACCAAATTGAAAAAAGAAATCTTTTCTTCAAACTAAAACAATTTATAATAACCAAGAATAAATCATTTTAAGATACAATAAAGCACCGGTATATACATAAACATTTTAATTATATGATTAAATAAGTCCCCTTTCTCTGATTGGCTGAGATCCAGCAATGTAGAAAAAAATACTAGGCCTACTAATGTTATATTCACCTGCACCTGACGTTCCAGGTGAATATAAGGAAATATATAATTTGGGTTATTAAGCTATCATGATGTTTTTCCTGAATGTTAATTTTTACTTTTTTCAGCTGTTAATTTTCCCTGATAATCCTTTATCCTTTCAAAAATATGTATCCTATAAAAGAGCCTGACATATAATTTTTTCATGTCAACTATAAAAACAGATTTTAAAAATTTCCAATAAAACCGACTGGACATGTTTAAAACATTATAGTTCTGCTTCTCTCTTTATAATTGGATAGGACTTCAGCTAATGTAAAAAAATTGATAGGTCGTTTTATTTTACCACTGGAATCACAATAAAACGAGCATTGCTATTTTTGGGGTCAATATAATGATTAAGCCACCTTTGAAGAATAATATTCACCTCGCCCTTCGGGCTCCGTGAATATTGTACTCCTTAGGTGCTAAATCATCGTATTGACCTCAAAACAGCAACAATTGTATAGTGTATAATATGTAATGTTTATTTCAACTCTAAAACTTTGATAGAAGGATAAACTTCTTACTTAGCGACTAAGGAGCAGACGTTCTAATCTTTGAGCCAAGCGGGCGACTCTTTCCTTGTAAAGAGAATTGTTTTCACAAAACTGATTTCTCTTATAAGTACTCGTATCATTTATTTTCTTCTCGAGGTAATAAAGCATGCTTCTTACTAAATTCCAAGGTCGAGTAATCACGTTTACAGTATTTACTTGAATCATATTCACACTCAGACAATAACCTATTTACCATGCATTGTAGTGTAATCTTATTAAGTTAACTTAATATTCAACTTCTTTCAGCTAAGCAACAACCGGTTGCTTTCTTCGCCGAACTATCCCAGGATTTGGTCAACCCATCTCAGGGCCAGAAGGTTGTCTTTGATCAGATTCTAACCAACGTCGGTAACGCCTATGATCCCACCACGGGTATATTTACCGTCCCCGTGACCGGGACCTACCACCTTAACGTCGTCCTCTCCTCCCCAAACAACAACGAGGCCGGCCATTACATGCATTTCTTTATCCTTCAGAACGGAAGAAAAATAGCATACCTATTTCTAGACCATAATACCGACTTCTGGCTTCATGCTTCTACGTCGACTGTCATTCAAGGGACTAAGGGGGACGTGATTTGGCTGACGGTGGGCGTAGCGGGAGGAAAGCATATTTTGGCGGGACATCGGTCTGGGGAGGGGGAGATTCACAGTCATATGTCAGGGTTCCTCATACAAGCTGATTAAACCTGACAAGAACCCCAATAATAATACCGTTATAGAATTGACTAAACAATAAATATTACTTTACTGTAATCTTCCTTGTTTTCCGATAAATCAATTATGTGCATTCACTGCAAAATAAGCTTGACTCTTTAAAATACTGAAAGGGATATCGATGAAAATGTAAGTTTGTGTCTTTGCGTCGCTTTTGAGCAACATCCGAAATTAAAAAGAAATTGATACGTAAAGTTTAATCTTATTTTATAAATGTATTAATAATTTTTTTTAAAAAATATTAATGTTCAATGAAATTTCCAATGCTCCGATATAGTTTAAAAGCGTGAGGGCATATAGAGGAAAATAGTATTGGTTTTGTTAACCACAAACAATTTTTAAATTGATCGTTTATTTGCTTTGCAGCACTGATTTATTTCAATGCATTAGTAATAGAATGGATCAATTTGTGTAAATAATAGAATGCCTTTCTTCATGTAAGAATTGAATTTAATGTTTCGTTTTAACCTTAATTAACCTTTGAAACCTAAATGTAAATGTCTTTTTCTGAAAAACCTGCAACTCATCTCCAATGATAAACTAAATATCAACTAAAGAAAGCCACATTTTTTTATACATGTATATTAAAGCACGCTAAGTTGGTTTTGTATGATAACTATTGTAGCAATGATAATTATATACTTGTATACCATTGTACCATTCATTGATAGAGGAGCTACAAATACTGTTCAAGAAATATATATATCTGACTTGATTTAAAATTAAAGTATTGGTAAACAAATGTGGTTTTTTGTTTTAAAAAGAAAGAAAGAAAAAGGAGATCAAATTCAGTGGTGAAGAATATTTATGCTTGAAAAAAATGAATAAGGTATAAGAATAATTGAAATTCATGTTTATCAAATATTCCGAATTATAATAATCAAAGCTATTCAAATAATAAATAAGAATTTTATTTTTCTTTAATAAACCATGGCCAATCTTCTTCCTGTCCGCAATAAAATATAAGAAAAATATTGTTTTCTGCCAATTTTGGAGGAAATGTGCTGTAGTCAAACGTCTGTAAAATAGCGCCAGCAACATTCGAGTTATACATTCTGGGCATGCGCGAATCAACACCGATACTTCCTGAGCACTTCTCATACGTACTATTACTTCCGGTAAGACAAAATGGCTTACACATGCGTCCACAGCGATCGTAGGCGGCGACATAAGCTTTTGTATAATTTTGATAAGGATTTTTTACGGCCACTTGTGTCAACGTTATTGTCAGAGCTTGTCTTTCATCAACAATTGCATCAGTAGTATAGTCTCCCTCATAATTGACGCCGATGGATCTTACAATTACTTTAGATGCCCCGGACCCCATATGCTGACATTTTTCTATGGTGGCGGGTCGCCCGGTGCGCGGTAGTGCTTTCTCCTCCCTTTCCGTGGTCTGATAGACATCAGACGTGAGATTCACTTCACCTCTCCGGAAAGGATGAGCATCAAACACTAAATCGGATGGTCTTCGAGAGTAAATTATAATCGGTATGTCTACCCAAGCTTTCGAGTCCTCTTTTCCATTCATCATAAATGTATTCTGCATAGAATGGAACATTGGAGTCGTCTGCATATCGATAGAGTTGGAAGGGTCTACGTTATTTACAATGAAGCTTTGTTCGGATGTTGTTTCAAAGAATGTTAAAGAGTTTGTGGTCGTTGTATCTGTGCTATATGGCTCCGATACCGACCGTCGTCGTCTGCGTTTTTTACGTACAAGGGAGAAGATCATCTCATCCACCGTTTTTGCTCTGCATTGTCCACCATCACAGGCATAAAAGAGAGACCCACAGTCAAAGTCAGATTCACAGTTGATGTCCCCGGGTGATTCTTCGTACTCGTAGATTCTAGACCAGTCTATCAGAAAACCATCTTTATTTCTCAATGGAAAAGGTTTCATCATGTCGTCTGCTCGGTGACCAAAGCCACCGCCGTTTGGGTAGTCAAACCGTGGATCGATACCCCGCTCCTTCTGTCTTTGACGAATTTTCTCCCAAATGTAATCAATAAAACAATGGTGCATCCAAAAGATTGGATCTGCAGGGGAGTAGTTTAAGCTGTCCATTGTACCACTTACCCACATATGAACTTTTCCATGAATTAATTCTAGATTTTTATATGAAGATGCATGAGGAAACATGAAATCTCTCGTGTGAGCCACGTTTACTATTCTATACAAGTCCTTTTTTTGAATCAGTTCTCCTACGTTTCCAATGTTTCTAACTAGATCTCCTGCAAACGGATGGGACCAGTTTGCAAAGTGGCCGGTTGTGACAACTCCATTTCCGGATCCCATCATTTCGTCAGTGAACAAAGCCGAGGCCGTGGGGTTTTCCAAAAGAGAATCTAGTGTTGAATCCCAGTATGGCACCGACACATTTGGTACCTTCGAACGAAGTAGTTGCTCGAATCTGTATAAAAAACAATACATGTGGGAATGTACAAAAATTATTTGAGCTGTTAAGCAAAGAAAGCCATTTTTATTATATCGATCATCACTATTGTGTAAATAGTTATCTATAATTAATAATTCCATCGCAATTAATATTTACTTGTGTCTTCATTTGAAATATTCCATTAGTTTGAATGATTTTACAAAAGAAATCTACCCTATGGTACAGCCCTTATTTAAAGGATAGGGTTAAGCTGTCTACAACAGAAAGGTTACTATTACCGGTAAAAATCTTTATGCTTTAAATATGACATTTCTCACGATTTGTACATTATATTTCATTCAAAGTACGTAGAATTGAAGAGCTTACATGTACAAGAAGACTCTGTGCCATGCTAAAAAGGCGGGTCCAAAGTGCGCATGCGGAGCACTAGACGCATGGTGTAAATTGCACAAAGTGTCGTAGATATTAAATGTTGCCTGAAAAAATGAAAGAAGAACATAAAATAAATATTCATAAAAGAATATATTGTTGGCGAGCGTGTGTATCCAAATAAAACAGAAAGAAAGAAGTGGTGTTGCAACCCTAGCTTAAATGACAACCTGAAATGAAAACTTTAAATGTTTAAAGCATCACTTCATACTAAAAGCACGGTGTATGACCGTACATTTTTTAAAATTTAATTTTTTTACAATATTGATTCAAACAGTGCAAATGGTTTAACAGGATATTAAACTAGTCTGAAAAATTTGACGTTTTCCTGACTTTTTACGATATAGATGTTTTACATGGCAAGAAAACGTCAGAACGGCACCATTACGAAAACTGGAAATTTCGCCGCCCCCAACCAGAGTTCATTTTGGATACTTGCAAACCAATCTAAATGCCAAAATCAGAATTTATCAATAGAGCAATGCTTGTATTACTCACCAATATCGACGAATAGAAAATATCTCTCAACATTTCGTTACAGGAATTGCAAGATTTTAAAATGCATGAAATTATGACAAATCTCTACATTGTGATAAAGTCTTTTTAAAGGATTGTATATTTTACAAATGAACGTCAATAAAAACTACATTTGTAAGTACTTGAAGTATTGTATTATTGATAACTTGTGACTTTGAAATTAAATTCGGTTCGCAAGTATCTAAAATCAACTCGAAAATGCCGCCTCCAGTTGGACGCGGCGATTTCCAAGTTTTCGTAATGGCGCCGGTTCTGACTTTTCCTGGCATGTAAAATATCAAAATCGTTAAAAAAGTCTGGGAAACGTCAGATTTTTCGGACTAGTATTAAACTTGCAACATGCATATACGAGTATTTAAAGAATATAACAGAAACAAAGTGAATATCTATTTATCGTTTTGATTTTAAAGGTACTTGGACACAGGTTTGAAGTTAAAATTTTCTCTATAATATTACGACTTATATATTTTAATAGCATTTCACACAAAAATTAATTTAAAATCTTATTTTATTTAAAAGCTATTAAAATATCAATTTTTTTGGTGGGTTTGATTGACACGCCCTTGCACTTTCACAAATTTATTTTATTCTTAATCCTTAGGAAAAGTGGCAATTTCGTTGTGTATAAATGAAAAATATTAATACTATAATCCAAAATAATCAGAGTAGACATGTTCGAAAGCAAAACAAACACGCAATATATTTTCAGTCCGTGCAGTTGTGGTAAGCAGACTGTGACGATTGAAAGCACCGGTGAATTATAAACATCAACAATAACAGAACTCTTGTCCTGTTTACAAAAACTGTGTACATAACACGAGTGTGCTCGATTTGCTAAACTCTGTACGCAACTCTTAGTTCGGAATGACGATACTTGTGAAGGAGTTTTGCTTTCTAACATTTCTACTATGAATAAAATTATTTTTCTGGATAAAAGTTTTAATATTTCTCATTAATACACAACAAAATTGCCACTTTTCCTAAGGATTAAGAATAAAGTTAAAATTTATGAAAGTGCAAAGATATGTCAATCAAACCCGCCAAACAAATTAAAGTTTTAATAACTTTTAAATGAAAGAAATATTTTTAATTAATTTTTGTGTGAAATGCTATTAAAATATATAAGTCGTAATATTATAAAGAAAATTTTTACTACAAATCTGTGTCCAAGTACCTTTAAATGATTTTGAAGATAATGCGTATGGCACATTTAATGTGCTCAAGATTTACTGCTTATCACAAGATAAATAAGAGGAATCGATATATTTGTTATTTACTTCTTTTTTCAAACGAGAAATTTAACACTCTATTTCTATGTGGAAAGTGTTAATAAGACAAAATGAGTTATGAAAATATAAAACTTTCCTCGGTTAATTACATTCCAACGATAAATTGAATTATAATGCAGAGACAGGAAGAGTGTATTATTCAGTACATGTACATAATTATGTACAAGTTGAATCAAAACATCACCTTTGTTCCCTGAAAGCTGTAATCATCTTTAAGAAGCTGTAGAGCGCGATGAAAATTGCGCCTCTCCTCCTCATTCATTCGTCTGTACTCTTTTCGAATGATAGTTGGCGATCTAGCAGAACGCTTGTTGCGTTTGCCTTCAAAATGTTTTGCAACACTTTCTTCCTTATATTGTAAGCTTTCTGTATTAATTTGAATTTCCAAGTTTTTGGCTTTGGCTGTCAACTGTTTCTCGGCTTTTCTGTCTGTTTTTGGTTTCCATCTTTCATTAGGAGTTGAAGTAAGATATTTGTTTGCGCATGCGTAGTCAATGACGTAAGCTGGATCTCGTTTCACGGCGCTGTTTGGAAGAATCATATTGAGACAATCTGTGAATTCCTTTGGTAGCAGTTCTTTGTAAATTTTTGAATGTCCTCCACCGCACTGTACACTTAGATAAACTAAAATCGTACAGACAAACATCCTAGAAAATGGATTATAAAAGACATCTTTATGATATTGAAATTAGTTACTTGACCTTATATAGGCAGCAAAGAAAGAATTAATCAAATCAAAATGAATTTGACTTTAGAATATGATTATATTAATAACAAAATAAAATATGCTGGACAAAAAAGTGAAGGATCATCAAATTTAATATGTTTTACAAATACTGTATCATAAAAAACAGAATACAGTTTTAATTTTATTATCATATTTATATTTAAAAAGTGAAATTTAAACAATGGATGTGATAAATTTGTTTAAACACACGCTACGAATTGTTCATCACAGTCACTTTAGAATTCGGCATGTTGGGGGTAGACCTGAAAATGAAGAGTCAAGTTACAGAAGAGTCAAGTTTCATCACTAAAATGATTGCCAGTATTTTCTATGACCTCACCGTGAGGCCCTGCAGCGCAGACGCATGCTGCCCATCAGCCGTCCAAGGCTATCCTGAGGGATCTGTTGCTATTCCTCCTGCAATGCTGTTTGAAGCTTCCGTCGATTTTTGGGAAGTGTAAGAAGAACTGAAATGCGTAGCTAAAGAATGTTCCAGGCATGTTCAATTAACTTCAGGTCTAGAAAACGAATTGGCGGGTCCATACGCTAAGTTGTTTCCTTTCCATGAACTCGTTTCCAATTCAAACTCTATTAGGTCGAGCATTATCGTCCATTAAGATGAAATCCTCCCCCCCCCCCCAGTACATGCAATACCTCTAACAATAGGAGGAAAAATATCAAAAAATATCATTTTGGTATTTCAAACCTCTCAGGTTGCCTTCAATAATTTGCAGATCAGTTTTGCAGTCAATACTTATGCCTGCCCAAATCATCACCAAACCTCCATTTACTCTGTATTGCTCAGAAATGACACAATCAGCATATCTTTCCCCATTTGCAATCCAAACAAGTCTTCTGACACCATGGAAGTATTGCCAAATTTTTGTGTTTTGTTGCCCTCTGAAGTCGATTTCTACGGCACTCTAATTTTAACTAGTGCTAATTGTAACGGGGACCGTTACAGATGTTCCCCAAACGCTCCCCATCTCCCTTTAGGTGCCATATTCCCTGTAAGCTTAATTAAATAAGACAAACTTTATGCATTTGAGACTTTAACAACGTTTACCCTGAAGGGTACCAAGTTCATTCAAATTTTAGCATTGTGCACATGTGAATGCATGTGCGTAATGACCATATCATCTTGTCTACACAATCTATATACTTTAATATACTAAATATTAAAGTATTTCATCCAAAAGTATTAAAAAATACGATGATTTAATTCATCAATTGTATTTTTGATTTTACTCATTTCACGTGCACGCACGTGCATACATGAGCATGGTGACATACCTTCTTGTAGAAGTTCATTACATCTATCTATGTTCTAGATCTCACTCCGTTTGTTTAAAAACCAAGGGAGTTATAGCTGATTAAAGTTTCAGCCAGTCAGATTGCAGCTTACGTTCACGCACGTGTATGGATGTGTATGGTAATCATACCTTCTTGTAGAAGCCCATTATATCTATCTATATACCAAATCTCATCCTGTTTGGTTGAAAACTAAGGGTGTTATAGCTATTTAAAGTTTCAGCCAATCAGATTGCAGCGCACGTGCATGCACGTGTTTTTATGAAAATTGTTATATATCATGTTGTAGGATATCCTAATGCATGGCAATGTTCAAAATTTCAAAGGATTTCATCAACAAACAAGAAAGATATTGAGACTTTAGTTTCAGCCAATCAGAGCGAAGCGCACGTGCATGCGCATGAGATCTTGCTATTTTGACCATGTCATATTGTCTACGCTACTACTATATCCTTATTTTATGAGTTTCAAAGCATTTCATCAAAAAGGTAAAAAATTTACGCCTATATTAATTAAATCGGTAATTTCAAGTGTTGCTCGTGCGCGCTCTTGCAAGCACGTGCACACAAAATGGCATGTTGACAATGTCATCTTATCTACATTTATAATATGTCTATATATTCTAAATATCAAAGCATTACATCAAAAAATGTAAAAGTTACGGCAATTTCAAGCATATTGTTCATTTCACGTGTTGCACGTGCGCGCTCTTGCAAGCACGTGCGCGCAAAATGACCTTCGTTCCGCAAATCTACATAACATGCCTACTTACCCTAAAAAGGTTTCCCCTTAATCGGATGTGTACTTTACAAGATCATTCGCGGACAAAATTTTCCCGAGAAGAAAAATAATAATAATAATAATAAGAAACAGAGTAAAAACAATATATTCCCCAACTTCGTTTGGGGAACATAATAAGGATGTACTGCTGGTCAGCAAGCCTTAAGATTTGCTTCCTGAAGTCTGTTTCAAATTGTCTGAGTAGAAATCTGTCCCAGCAAATTGGCCAAATAATGATCCTCACGGACTGCCGTACACCTTGGACGTTCCGATTTTAGCCTTTCTGACAATTTTCTGTCTGTAAATATCGGTTCCATAACCGTTAATTCCGCTTTGGGAAAGATAAAGTCTTACTGCAACGTGTCGTTTTGCCAGCTTCCCTGCTGCTACTTATATGCCTCCTCATAACGTCTTATCGCCAGTTCTGGACAGATATACTGAAATTTTCTTATGTTCACTAAAGAAAACCCTCTTTGATACTTCTATGCTTCCATTGTTCCACTTACTTTTTTAACGCCACGTATTTTCTTGACACCAATATGTTCCAAAACTCCTTAAGGTCATACGCAACGTAGTTTGAACTTTTTGGGGTTCTTCCCTGGAGTTGAAGAGTTCCACAAAATGAAAGACCCGTGTGCAATATTTTTAATGTCTAAATATGGATTTGTACACCTTTTCTCAAACAACTTTTGATAAAAAAAATCTGGAATTTATGTTTTATAAATTTTGTTCATTTTTAATGGAATAATGCTAAAATTTTCAAAATTCGATATCTTTTCAAAACCCCTGGTTTACGCATGCTGATTTTTTGTTTAAGAACATGTAATAATATAATAAGCTTAAATTTAGAATATCTTGGAAAATTATCAGTAGGTAAGGTACGTTGC